AACTTGATAATGTCCCTTACAGTGAACATATTGCTTGAAATCTAAAATAAGATGTATGTAGCTGAAAAGTATTTTAAACAGTTGCCATGTCACTTTAAATAATAGAAATTTTTAAGAATCTTTCTAGATTGATGTGCTTAAAACTTTACAGTTAGTCAAATAGAATAATATTGTGTGAAGCATTTACTCAGAGAAATAATCTCCTCTGTTAAAATTTGGAATTCAAAAGACGTTTCAACTGCCTCAGGCAAAGTTGACCTTAAATGGATTTGGCTACTTTTTTATGTCCTTTTTGATAATACAGCTCTTCAACTGTTTCGGATCTTATATACATCATTGGCTTTCAAATATTCGGCTTTAAGCGTTCCTGATGAAGGTAAATCCAGAAAAGCACTTCGGAAGCATGCAATTTAAAAAATATAACGTTTTGTTTTCATTTTTTAATGATATGGTCAATGCTAAATAATAAATTGTCCATGAACTTTTAAATTTGCACGACTTGCGATGTGTTATCTGAGGGTTGTCCTTCCGTCGAGTATCAAATTATTGATTTGGTTGAAGGTAATTTACCGAGGAATTGTGGTGATATCGACTTCGAACTTACTAAACATATTCATTATATGTTTTATGATATATTTGACAAACAAGGGATGGTTTTACTGTGACTGAATGGTTCACTGATCCAGTTTCAGTTTTGGTTAAAGTCAAGTTATCTTTTTTATCACGTATTTTACCATTATGGTCGCCTCAATTTGAAGCTAACTATACATGTTCATAATTTTGTAAAGTTTAAATTTGAGTGCTGCACTGAACATTGAAATATGAAACCGCGAGCTATAGTCTGTTCAAATTTTGTATGGTTTTCTACATTTGGAACAAGAGTGAGTTCAATTTGACAACATACCAACGACAAGGTGATGTTTGAATCGAAATTTTCATGAAATATAGGATGTTTTCAATAAGACGGCGGATAAGTCATTGAACATTAGAATTAAAATAAGTTAAATTACCATCTTTTTCTGCTTTCACTCTCAGGTTTATCAATTTGCCAACAATGCAATCAACAAAGAAACCATCGCTCGAAAATGTATGTCTAAATAATACATTAATACCTGCAAAGAAATTCGAATGACTACACTACTGCTATGCTGCGTTATATGCATGAATAACATTCAAAATTTACTGCATTTCTCAACATAAATTATCATGTATTTTATTTTATTTTTTTTTGTGTTGTTTTTGATGTTTGACGATATTATTTCGTTGTAGATTTAATACATTCAAATTTTGAGCCTATTTCGCGATGTTGCTTAAAATAGTCAATAAAATACATGTACATAAACGTCATTCAAAAGCAATAGAAAAGAAAAAAAGGTATAGATGGTTAGAGAATAATGTAAAGTCTAGCATCGGGCATAAAGCTCAAGGAAAATGAAGACAGGTACTATTCAATCATCAATAAGTTATACTAAAAGAGATATTCAACTCAATATGTGAAGATAACACAGAAAGTAGAACAAATAGTTTAGGTCCAATGTCCACAATTGGATGAAACCAGAATGAACAAAATGTGTTATCTGCAGTGGCGGATCCAGAAATTTTCATAAGTGGGGGCCCACTGACTGCCTAAGAGGGGGCCCGCTCCAGTCATGCTTCAGTGATTTCCTATATAATCAACCAAATTTTTCCCACAAAAGGAGGGGGAGGGGGCCCCTGGGCCGCCCCCCTAAATCCGCCTCTGATCTGTATTTAGCCTTAATCATACAATTATAAACTAAACATTTCTTCAATCTCTGCAAGGAAAGCTCATAAAATAATTAACAATGCTTTTTCGATTAAGTGTTCTAATTTGTTCTTGTAGCTGGTTACCTACACCTTTGTGGTGTATTTCAAAATGAGTGTTGTATACCTTTTTCTTCTGTGATATATTCTTGTGATGAAAATAACAGAGGACATGACTTTGATCGACTTCTCCTCATAGGTTTGTTACTGAAATTTAAAATATTATGTTTGTGCCGTTTAATTACATAATTAAACAGATTCCTTTTTAATATTTCAAACTATGTTGTTTTGAAGGGCGAGTTTAAAGGGCAGACTACTTGCACATATAAGGTAAATCTGAATAATCCATTGTGCTGTTAGCAAAAGCTGAATTTAAAATAGATCATGGAATTGCAAACAACATTTTTGAAAGTTTCACCACTCTTTTTTCTTATTTTGAGTAGTTTATATGATCAGAACATATTACTTGATGTATTCATTAGATGCTGAAGCAGTATTTTGAAATTGAAGACAAAACACATTAACCATATATGCAGAATCGAATATAACCAAATGACGCTCAACATCAAATGGCAGAGGTGCTTTTGATACCACAGTCTGCATTCCTGATGGAACAGTGCTCTTATTCTGACCGACCTTCTCCTTTATTTGTATACATTAGTTCTTACAGGAGTTTACCAAGAATATCTGCTGTCAAACAGCAGAGCCTGACACAGGGATATGTCTCGCCTTTATGTGATTTTTATAGTATTATACAAATGTTGAAATTCAAATGGCAATACTTTAACATATAAACTCTGCAAAACATTCAAAGTAAATAAACCAAGACTGAAGGTGCAGGGCAAATTCGGAAATGAAAAATGTCAATGCTTATACAACCTAAAACCAAATACCATTGACTAATTAGAAGGTGTTCCCTTCAAACTCACCTTAACACAAGTTTTAACAAATAAACTATTCAAAAGTTTAAAAGTCAATGAACCATGTTGATGGAGCTGGCATTTCATATCGTGATTTCCTTGATAGAGGGTTGCTGCTCACAAGAAAGCTATACAAGTGGTGAAGTTGACATCATCCATTCAAACATTTTACAGACGCAATCACGAGTTGGTTGACCTTTTCTGGAATATCTTCTAGTTGTGGAAGCCATACTCTCGTCGATTTTCGTTGTTTGCCCTGGCGTTGTCAGTTAGTTTTTGACTTATGAATTTTATTGTCTCTTTGGTATCTTCCACCTTTCTTTTACCTTAGCTGATTTGCAAAACCTTTTAGGTCTTTAGTGCTCTTCAACTTCGTTCCTTATTTAGGCTTACCATTTTTTATTCGAGCGTCATTGATTACTCTTTTTTTTCGAAACGCTCGTATGGCGTACAAAATCATAAGCCTGGAATCATTGATTTGTTTTTTTACATCTGGGTTTACTCCTTTTGTTGGTTGGGTTTGTTTTGCTCAAACGTTATCTATGTTATGTGTGGTGTTTTTAATTTGTCTATTCATCCTTTATCTTTCTTTTTTTTGGCCTCAGAAAAGAGGCTTGCTTCAAGGAACATTGAAACAGTTTATGTAGCTTTAAATCGTTTCATGGTAAAACTGGTATGGTAATTTAAAAGGCTACCGTTTTAGGTAACACATTTGTACGGTATCAAACAATATCTTTGCATATACTTCAAACCATTGAGAGGTGTGTTCGAAACCGGCAGCCATTTCGAAATGCAACAAAATAAGCATATGAAGACGAAGAATTTTAACGAGTACATATAAAAAGCTGTGTAAACTGTCATCTGATCTAGAAGAAAAGGAAAATTATTTCCCTTGTGCGCCATAATATCCCGTTAATATATCCGGTCCCTTTAAATATAAACTTAAAGTAATGTTTATTTATTGTAGACGATATAATTTTAGGATATGGGTTTATGTAATGAATTACCTGTAATAATCTACGATAGTTTCTAACCCTCTTCCTCCAATTTTTTTCAATGCCTCCACTTAATTGTTTGATCGTAACTGAATCACCTAACATTTTCCAGTAGTCTAATATTTTCTGTGTTTTTTCAAATATGTTATATCTTTTACCAATAACCATATTTGCGATAACTGAACCTCCAATACCCAGATAAGAACCTAAACTAGCACCATCGATTCCAACAGCGAATGATATTTTCCGTAGCAAATCTGCTGGTGGCTTCTTCATTAGTACAGTTGGCGAGATACATGTTTCAGCCACTGAAAACATATCACAGAAATGGAATTCATTGGATTTCATCAACTATTTAAACTGCTGTTCAAACCGTTAAGACAGTTGAATATATTTAGTAACATGTCCCTAACATTTATTCAATAATACATTTCATCATAAACAAACAAACATATTTACACTTTCACGCTTTGAAATTGCAACTTTTATCAACTCAATCATGACATCAAATATTCATTGAAGTAAATCGGGCATTGGTTGATCGCATTCAATAAAGTATATTCAAAAAGACAGTATTGAATTGAACCAACGTATATTGTATGATGGTTTACTGTTATTTGGTGTATCTTTTATCTGAAGCTAACATGCAAAGTATGCATACTCAAGCAGAGCAGTTTCAACCGTGTCTTAAATTATCATCAAACAAAACTTAGCTGCTTAACTGCTCATCACAAGAAATTTAGGAGTAAGAGCCAAGGCTGGTTGTCTCAGAGTCTTGGTAGGGTACATGTTACATGTCTTCCAGTAGACTGTTACCGTGTGAACTAACACATTACGAATCTTAGACAGCGTTTGGTGTGGTACAAAGGTACACTTTCATAGTGGAATAACATGTTTTCGTCCTGAATTTTGAATTATATTTGCTACTGAAAGTTAATGTCATATGATACTTCAAATTTAACTAAAAAGTTGAATATGTTTTGCACACTTTAGTGGCTAAGTTTCACTATAAATAGAAAAATTCAAGTCTTCAGAAATATACTCACTTGTAAATTTATTTTGGTCATTTTGATCTTAAAATCGTCTGAAAATTCTGAACAATCCATTATTAGTCATGCCCAGTCTTTCAGTAAATTTTCCGACTTGGTTAAACGCAGTTAAGCTATGACAAAATGTTTAACAATGATCTCTGCTACGTGTAAGAAGAAGGTGTTATAAGGAAAAAGATAAGTTGAAGTAGATCATCACATTTTTGTTTTGCGGTTCCTAATGCATTGTGTAGGTCAAATGACTTGATGAGCTTTTACTTACTCTTGAAACTTTTCTGTGCGTTTTTCTGGGTCTAAAAATCATAAAAAAAATGTTATATTTTACTATTTTCAGAAAGGTTCATTCAACACTTATCATTGATTAAATTCTTTATATATACGTATATGCGCGAAGGTGTAACTTTGACCCGTTAAGTGTAAGTATATTAAAATATGTGTGTAACACTATTATCCCTAGACGTAAAATGAGCGCTCCAAATACTCATGACGTTTAGAAGGAGAATAATTTAAATGTGAATACTTACTAAATGTACCTTTGTTGTATTATCTAAGCAATATACAACATCTATAGCAACTGCTGTTTTAAATTCGTTCTGGGACAAGTTTTAAAGAAAATCTATGCAAAAAAGTACACCTTGAGGCATTTATACCTCATGTGTTTCATTTAGAGGGCACTTTATTGGACGTAATTGCATACACTTGTGGATTTAAAAAATAACGCTCATTCATAAACAGCATTATCCGATATTTTTTGGGGGTAATTATAATGTTTGTTAAGCGACCACGATTTCGAGCTGTTATTTTGTATTTGAAAAAGGAATTCGTATTACATACAATCGACTTTGATTTATTTTTTGTGCCCATATTTAACAATAGAATTAAGATTTATGTTATGTACTAGACAAACATAACTTGCCTGCTTTGAATCCCAGTACAATAGGAAATCAAACTCATGAAACTGACTATGTTGACATTTCCACATACCAGCTTTTGACAGCTTGAGTTCTTCACTCCTTTTCACGAAGCAAGGTCTTTTACAGGCTGCACCATATTCAAGCTCAAATTGTTTTTCAAATATTGCCCTGTTTAAAGCATCAAGTTTTCTTGAATTAAGTTGATAAAATTCGGAAATCGATATCATTGCAATTGTTAAGCATTCCTGGACACTTGCCACATTTGGAGATTGAATATTTCGTACGGAATTTAAATTTGTAAAATAAATAATAATTTTCCTTCCTTGCATAATGATTGAAAACTCATTCTTTTCGTCAAATACAAAAGTGGCAATGTCTTGGAAAATCATTTTTCTTCCTTGATACACTTTAAGTGGCCATATTCCGAGAGCAGAGGCAATAAGTCGAAATAAAACACATGGTGGAACCAATTGTATTTTGAAATCATATGCCATACATATACTTTTGTTTCTATTCAAATATTTCTCGGCGTAGTCATTGTTTAGTCTAGTCTGAATCATACATGGGATGATATAGTATTCTGGGGGGACATTGACATCCTGATTAACTAGCTTTGGTTCAACAAGAACATCCAAGTGAAGAAGTATCTTCACAAGGAAATCTTTAAATTCCTGGTTCTGAAAAATTGCTTGGAACTCGTCTTGGTTCCATAACTTCATCAAATCAGTCTTCTTCAGCATTCCGTCTTCTTGCAATTTTTTAAGAATTCTGTGATACTCCGTATTATTTGTAGGAAAAAACATCTCATCAGTAACGAAAGATCGTAAGGCATTTACCAGAACGCTAGGCTCTATGATAACACATTTTGACAACTCATCTTGATCAAAGAAGATTAATTTTCCAATGGCATGCTGTGTCCTTAGGAAAAAATTCAGCTTTTCGTCATCCATCATTAAATCTTCATTTAATCTGTTCAGTTTCTGAATCTCCTCTATTCTAAGAATACTGGTGCCTCGAAGTTTCAAATCCATTATTTGCTTTTCCAAGGGAACCCATATCAATGGCATCTTCATTCCCCAAGAACTCTGGGAAAAGGCTATTTGAACAAGCTTGTCTTTTAGTTTATCTATTTCGTTGTCATCATTTTTTCTAGCATCAATGAAAAACAAATTGTCTAAAAAAAGATACGATATGTTTTCGTGTTCTTTGAAAGTTGCTGTAAGTTGCGCTACAAGCTCTGTCCGTCTAATCTCATAATTATTCTGTAAGAAATTATCGTTACTGAATAAATTTATCAATAAACAAATATTTTCTTTTTAATTTTAAAATTGTTCACTAATAGGAAGACGTAAGCGTGAATTTAATGGTAAAAAGAATATTTAATAAGCAGAAACATATTCTCTTCGAAGTACTGCTTGATTTAACATCACAAGAATAAGTGTTATTAGCTTGCATTGATAACTGCACGTGTTCTGTGACACATCATTATTTAGAGTACAGTGCTTTGTCTTTATCTTATTCTCATTGCATGTTCTTTCGTGTAGTTTTTTATCGACTTATCGATACTAACATGAATGGAGATCTCAAACAACTAGATATCATTGAGATGGGAGCCATCTCTGTGGGCCCCGCTGTGAATAATGTGTGGTAAAAAATGTGTATCTTTATAATTGGTCATGGGGTTGTCAAATGAAACCAAAGTTTTTGACCTTGACCTTTGACCTTGGAAGTTGTACATAAATTATGACACACCCTCTGGTGTTGGTTAATATACATATCAAGTATAAACTTTGTAATCATAACGGTTCTCAAGATATAGAGCGGACACGATCTTTACCATAGGATATGGGGTTGTCAACTAAAACCAAAGTTTTTGACCTTGACCTTTGACCTAGGAAGTTGTACATACATTATGACACACCCTCTTGTGTTGGTTAATATACATGTCAAGTATAAACTTTGAAATCAAAACGGTTCTCTAGACATAGAGCGGACACGATTTGTTACGGACGGACGGACAGACAGACGGACGGACAGATGGACGGACGGACGAACAAACGGACGGACAGACGAACGGACGGACGGACAGACTGATCACTATAGGGCGTCCGCCATTCGGCGGGGCCCTAATTACTGGACATCCACAAGAGACCACTGTAACTAGAAAACCACCAACCTTATGTTTGTACTTAATAATATATGAAAAACAAATATGATTCACAGCAACAACCGATATCTACTGAATTATAGGCTCCCCACTTATCTTAATAGTATAATGAATTTTATGACTGTTCCTTTTCAACTTTCATCAGAATATAAATTAAATCAATTAAGACAAATATACATGTTAAACAGAGGGGAAGACAGCGGATATTCAAATCTCAATAGAATCTACCAACGCCATAGCAAACAACAGTAGACGATGAATAGACGAAAATGTTCACAAATCCCTATATAAAAGCTAAAATTAACCCACTATATCAAGGTTTATCTCAGCTGCTCTGGGGTGTAAGCAAAACATTTTCCATTAATGGCATCCGTTATATTGCTCGTAATAAGTTCATTTTCGGTAAAGAGTCTCTTTCAGTGGTGTCTCAATCGAGGAAAAGAGGACGGAATAATGGTGATTGGGACAAATCCGGGGTCATCTGTGACACATATTAACAACGGCAACCTACTAATGATAGCATTAGTAATTCTTTTGAAGTGGTGATTTCAACTTTATCCAATGGTTCAAAAGCGTCCAAGGAAACACCAATCCGCTACCAAAGAAATCATTCCAGGAAACGCAAGCTATGGAATATCTTATGAACTGGTAGATATGTACACCATATACAGGCGCTGCTTGTATGTTGCTAATTAAAAATGGAAGATTAATATCATTTATTTGTCGTAATTGTTTTTTTTTCAACTAACCCTCCTTGTCATTTTCTAGATGTAAGTCAAGACATCAGGAAGACTTAACAGTATCTGTGGTATCCTTTTTCTTAAATTTGATAGGTACGATACTTGCATTATAGTCACCAAACATATTAAGTAAGAGGATATCATCCATACAGCGGAAAGTGCAGTGTAAGGATAATGCAAGCTTCGTTTTATAATTCTTGAGAATTGGAAGCTCCTGTGTACATGTACAGTTGATCTTATATATTTGAATTAATAAGTCGGCAAAAAGAAGAGCACATTTTGTTCTCATACGAATGCTTATTTTTTTAAATAAAACACGTCCTTCAAACTTTTTTTTTATTTATATGTTAATTGTACTTACATTTACAGTATATGAAATGTGTTATTATTCAAAACACCTTAGGTTTTTTCTTCCAATAGGTATATATTGACTTAGCCGTATTTTGCACAACTTTATGGAATTTCCGGTATCTAAAGCTCTTCGTATTTGAATTACTTAAACAACTAAATTTACTCGAGCGTCTCTAATCAGTGGCGGATCCAGAGGGGGGCGTAGAGGGCGTACGCCCCCCTTTGCTTGCACTTTTTTTTTTTTTTGTAAAATGATTAATCAGACTAGACTTCGTGAACTTTGCCATTTCCCGTGTATTTAATTTTTATGCGACAATTCTTTACTTATAAAGATATTTTTCGCTCGTATTTACTGTAATATATTATTGATTATGTCAAAGTCATGTGATTCTCTACGGTGGAGTTGATCAGTTCGTCGAAAAAAACGTCACTCAGTCATTTTGAAATTCAAATTACAGTAACACATTGCTTAGAGGATGACAAGCATGACGCCTTCAAAGCGACAAAGTATTGAGCAAGAACGTATTGACTTCTATTTCACAATTCCACCTGATAGAAAGTAATACTCTATTACACTCTCATGAAAAAAAAAGTTCCACAGCAATATTATTTACCTTCGAAAACATGTTTAACCCCACACGCCCCAGCCCATTAATAACATTGCTGAATAGTGATCCCCAGTCAGTAAGCTCTAGATATAGATTTAAAGTCTAAGGTACGGACCATTTGATTTGAGGGGGCAGTCTGAGATATTTTAGAGAAAAAATTCTGACCCTGATTTTTGCCTTAAACAAAAATTCTGGCCGTATCTGGATTGAAAACAATAATCTTGTCCACTTTTTTGCTATTAGAAAAAAAATATTAGCATTACATGAACATGATGAATAATGGATGAAAATTGCTTGTTTGTCTTTCTTCGTGTCGGTCGTATTGTAAATTTCATTGAATAGCCGTATATCTTGTTTACAACAAGAAATCTGTGAGGTTATGCTAACTAACCATACAACAAACGAGAATTTTTCCATGTCCATTCTTTACTGACAAATCCCACATCAAAAATATTAATTACATGTAGTACATAGCTTTGGATCCATCCAATCATTTCATAATAGACAATTGATGGAGAGAATACGGCACCAAAAATGTCCAACCCCTACACTTTAACTATAAAATGCATTTTACACTTATTTTATGTTTTTAGCCAAAAAAAGGTCCAAAAAAATTTTTCGCCTCGCTCCGCTCCGCAAACTTTAATACTACGCCCCCCCTTTCCAAAATCCTGGATCCGCCCCTGCTAATGAAGACGAAATGCGCGTCGTGCGTACACAAATAACCCTGTTAATTTGACAAGGTTTTTCCTCCCAATATAGACATGTTGCGAGTTGGCAATTTCGCATATGTTTTTGACATTCTTGTATTTTTATTTGCCTGATTGTTTCATTTTGAGGAACCCGATAAATAACTAGTTCTTGATTATGTCATTCTTAATATGAAATTTTTGTTAAAAACCATATGTAAATAATGTGAAAATCAAAGTATAGCGATATGTGAGATATGTTTATCTAGTACATATAAAAAAGAAGTTTTGGTATGATTGCCAATAAGACAAGTCTGCACAAGAGACCAAATGACACAGGAAATTAACAAATATAGGTCGCCGTTCGGCCTTCACCAATAAACAAAGTCCATATCGCATAGTCAGCTATCAAAGGCCCCGAAATGACAAATGTAAAACAATTCAAACGAGAAAACTATCCAATCATTTTGGTAGAAAAATTAATAAGCTTCGATATTTTGTGAGTGCATCCTCATTTTTGTGGTCGAATTTTAAATATTTGGGAAAATAGAATCGAACTAAACTAAATGTCAGTTGTGACAATCTTTTTAAGATGCTTATCCCAAAATTATCAAATATCTAAAGGTGCAGAAGATCTAATATTGCGAAAGAAAGTCGCTAGTGAATTAAGACACCCACATATCGTATCGGTCAACCAATCCATGATGGTGACCTCAAAACTAATAAAGTATGTTTTTCAATATTCATTACAACACTGCTGGAGCAGTTTATGCATAAAGAGTGCATTCATGTTAATGACGTCCGTTTAGTGTGAACATGCACCAGAATGACGTATAAACTAAGGTAGGTAAACGCCACACAAGATGGAGAAGATGGTATGTTACTGCTGAGAAATTGGACGTTGACAATGAAAAGTAATCAAAGCACCAAGAGGGCTATAGGCAGTTAACTAAAAAACCCAAGGCAACTGTGGCAGAAGTTATTAAGATGAATATTGTGGAAGAATTGGTTTATTTATCTCAGCTATTTCTCATGTAACAAATAATGGTTGTACCGTTTTGTTTCCGCTATCCAATCCTACCAATTTCAAAAGTTATTTCCAATGAATTTTAAATTACTTTAAAATATGTATCCTTTTTAAAGATTCAATGTCTGAGATTATGCACACATACTGTCCCAATGTTAAGGAAGGGTTTTTTGCCAGCTAACATGTTTAACCCACCACATTCTGCATGTACGTGTCCATAGTAAGAACCCAGTAATTTGGTGGTTGTTGATTGTTGCTGTATATCATAATTATTTTCCATAATTGTTTTGTACATAAATCAGGCTGCTAGTTTTATTGTTTTACATTTGTCATTTCGGGGCTGTTTATAGCTTACTATGCAGTATAGGTTTTGCTCATTGTTGCAGGCTGTATTTTCATCATACCAGATCTATAGTAATTAACTTCTGTAAACTTCTCCATACAGTCATACACTTAGGATTGAATTTAACTTATGGAGGAACATTATTGTCAGAATATCGGTGTCCAACAGTGGTGTATGGTTGGTTTAGTTCCACTACAATGTATACACAAGATTTTTAATATTAGCGGTTTTAGTTGGATCAGCTGGTGTCAATATGCAAAATTATTAATCGTACCTGAATTTATCTGAAGTGGTGTAATTTTCTTGTAAATTATATTACACTAAATGCTGATGTTGT